TCCAAAACCCTTTATATCAAATTCAGGTTTTGTTAGGATTTGAACGAAGTTTTATTGTGCATGTTTCACCCTCAACAACAGTTCTGCCAGAAAAAAAGACAACAAGGGTTTCTGAGGATCTTTGTGTTTGAATAGCTATAGAATATGGCCAGCACTGGCTGGGCAACGTGACAGTTTATTAAATCGTTAGGTAATTTTAATGATTTCTAAATAATTCAAGCGCCTTCAAAATGACTACTTTTACCCAAGGAGAGTCTGAAGAAATGTCGAATGTTACCGTTAGCCCAGTTCAATTCAAGCCCCATGCTCCTCTTTCAAATAGAATCATTGTTACGTAGCACGATGCAACTGCCTACTATCGCCGCACGCCGTTTAACCATCAAGAAGATGGCAGAACCAGGGTCTTACCAGGAAACCGTTTCATTAACAATAGACATACTTGCTATGTTTGCAAGGAGAACGCTCGTATGACAATGGATCGTGAAATTAAAACGGTGTGGTATTACCACGAATATAACAATTTTCTGGCAATATCACGGCGGGAGACAAAAAATGGGCTTCACACATTGTACCCTTGTGGGAATTTGAACCCGTGTCTTTGACGTGACGAGAGAAAGCCTCAACCAGAAGGCTACCCCATCGCCCCTGATATTTAACAGAAAAGGAAAAAACATATGTTCGAAGGAATGGAGAAGTATTACATGCTTAAATGCATAAAATATTAAAAAATGTAAAAATGCATTAAATTTAAAAAAGTGATCCGTAAAGAATCGTATCGTTACATCAGACACGCCACGACTTTAACGATGTGACGATTGACTGGCAAGGTATACAATAACACGTCTTTGTCTGGCTACACAAGTATCACTGACAGCCAGAGTCATCACCCGGCGATAGATGTTACCATTGACACCCATAATCTTTACCTGGGGACAGATGTTACCATTGACATCCACAGTCTTCACCTGGCAACAGATGTTACCATTGACATCCACAGTCTTCACCTGGCGACAGATGTTACCATTGACATCCATAGTCTTCACCCGGCGACAGATGTTACCATTGACATCCATAGTCTTCACCCGGCGACAGATGTTACCATTGACATCCATAGTCTTTCACCTGGCATAGTCTTCACCCGGCGACAGATGTTACCATTGACATCCATAGTCTTCACTGGGGCGACAGATGTTACCATTGACATCCATAGTCTTCACCCGGCGACAGATGTTACCATTGACATCCATAGTCTTTACCCGGCGACAGATGTTACCATTGACATCCATAGTCTTCACCTGGCCACAGATGTTACCATTAACACTGATAGTTATCATATTCACCTGGCGACAGATGTTACCATTGACATCCATAGTATTCACCTGACAACAGATGTTACCATTGACATCCACAGTCTTCACCTGGCGGCAGATGTTACCATTGACATCCATAGTCTTCACCCGGCGACAGATGTTGCCATTGACATCCAAAGTCTTCACCCGGCGACAGATGTTACCATAGACATCCATAGTCTTTACCCGGCGATTGACCTAACCCATGCGTCAAAATATTTAATATATATAAGGTGTTACGACTGGTTATAGTAACAATATCTTGTAATTTGTATGTAAGGATGCTGGTCCCGGGATTATCATATAATCATTGTTTGAAATGGCTGTTCGGTTTCTATTTTCTGACTATATCCTCTGTATCACCAGGGCTTGCATTTCACTGAACTTACACGTAGACTGAGCCTTGGATCCATGCCAATGGTTGTAGCAGTATCACATTACCCGCCTTGATATCTGACTGCCAACTGGCCGGAGTCCAGCCCTCCAAAGTAGGAATGGTTTCTCGGGTGCGACATAGGTAAACGTAATACCAGGTGTCTAAAGAGTGGTTGATTGGACTACAGCTGTAGCGCGTGTGGTCCCGATGGGGCAGAACATGTTTGGCACTTCTCGCGGACACCAGGTGTCATTATTGATTGCCTCCCCTGCCCAAAGTAGATTGTATTGTCGGATTAATGGGGCTGATTAATGGTTTAACGGCCTGTGGTGTCAATACACCCGGCGGAGTATGTGAGAGAATGAGTGAGTAATATGGGTTTCCACATATGGGTTTCACACATTGTACTCGAGGGAATCGAACCCGCGTGTCTCTCTCTCTCTCTCTCTCTCTCTCTCTCTCTCTCTCTCTCTCTCTCTCTCTCTCTCTCTCTCTCTCTCTCTCTCTGGAATATTGCTAAAAGCGGCGCAAAACTAACCCTCGAGGGAATCGAACCCGTGTCTCTCTCTCTCTCTCTCTCTCTCTCTCTCTCTCTCTCTCTCTCTCTCTCTCTCTCTCTCTCTCTCTCTCTCTCTCTCTCTCTCTCTCTCTCTGGAATATTGCTAAAAGCGGCGTAAAACTAAACCCACTCACTCACTTCCAATTTTTTGTCACTATGGTTAGGCTATTGTTTTGCCAGTATCAACACATTTCTGTTATGCATGCACAAATTGAGTAATCATCATTTGGAACTGCATATTTACGGTTACAATATCACCACATATATTTAATCATTCATGCACAATCACCCATGCCAAGAACCCAGCTTGAAACCACCACAACGACTTTTATATCTACATTGATTCGTTTAAGTTTTATACTTTTGAACGGCAATACCTCCACTAAAACAAATAGTTTTCTGCATGCCTTTTCAAATTTCATTCATTTACCTATTTCTTCTCAATAATCATCATGTGAATAACGGGGCGGTGGGGTAGCCTTGTGGTTAAAGCTTTCGATCGTCACGCCGAAGACCCGGGTTCGATCCCCACATGGGTACAATGTGTGAAGCCCATTTTTGGTGTCCACCGTCGTGATATTGCTGGAATATTGCTAAAAGCGGCGTAAAACTAAACCCACTCACTCACTTCCAATTTTTTGTCAATATGGTTAGGCTATTGTTTTGCCAGTATCAACACATTTCTGTTATGCATGCACAAATTGAGTAATCATCATTTGGAACTGCATATTTACGGTTACAATATCACCACATATATTTAATCATTCATGCACAATCACCCATGCCAAGAACCCAGCTTGAAACCACCACAACGACTTTTATATCTACATTGATTCGTTTAAGTTTTATACTTTTGAACGGCAATACCTCCACTAAAACAAATAGTTTTCTGCATGCCTTTTCAAATTTCATTCATTTACCTATTTCTTCTCAATAATCATCATGTGAATAACGGGGCGGTGGGGTAGCCTTGTGGTTAAAGCTTTCGATCGTCACGCCGAAGACCCGGGTTCGATCCCCACATGGGTACAATGTGTGAAGCCCATTTTTGGTGTCCCCCGTCGTGACATTGCTGGAATATTGCTAAAAGCGGCGTAAAACTAAACTCACTCACTCATATGAATAACTGATTTGCCTTTGCGTGTGTTTGTGATGTCCCAACTAGGGGCTAAGACACCATTTTGCGAATTATTATTACAATCTAATTATCACAGTTTGAAAGTGCTTCAGAAACACATAGTCGAAATCCTACTGATATGGCGCCTTCAGTCTTAATTCTTTGAGTGACGGACATGTTGTCAGTGCAAGCAAGCAACCACTTCACGTTAACTGTCCTCCCCATAACTGCAAGGCTCGCATTTCGATAAACCTTCACCATCCAGTGAAGTCAAATTCACTTCCAATTAGCCATATGGCTACGCTACCGACAAACAAACCAACCTCAATGTTTGGTTGGCCATATCATCCATACGGCGACCAGGCCCATTGATTAAGATTCAATTTGCGAGAAATGCAGCACCGAAAAACTTGATTGACACGAAAAGGAAGCCTTCAAAATCGTTTTGATGGAAAGAATGTCCATACAAATGGAAAAGACAAAAATCACTTCCACATCTGTAAGAAATGTCTGCAACAAGCAAAACTTGCGATGGCTTGTCCTCGGTTTTGATTGGTCGGTAAATGAAATAGTTTTATGAAAGAACAGAGCAGATAAATTGCGAATACAAGTTTTGTCGAAATACGAGCCCTTGCAATGGAGATTGAGTGAGTGTAGTTTTACGCCGCACTCAGCAATATTCCAGCTATATGGCGGCGGTCTGTAAATACCCGAGTCTGGACCAGACAAGCCAGTGATCACCAACATGAGCATTGATCTACGCATTTGGGATACGATTACATGTGTCAACCAAGTCAGCGAGCCTGACCACCCGATCCCGTTAGTCGCCTCTTACGACAAGCATGGGTTACTGAAGATCAGTATTCTAACCCGGATCTTCACGGGTCTGAAATGGAGAGGATGGTGAGCGACATGAAAATGGTATAGGGGCACAGGTGTCCCAGGAGTCGGAAGGCGCCGCTATTCGCCTTACAGACTTACATCCCTTGGGTTCCCCCAGAAACGTGTGATTTGGGGCTCCAAAAACAGCCCGATTGTTTCATGGTTTTGAGGTCAGACCCATTCCCTGGTTCATGGGTTTCACCAAAGTTTGTAAACATCTAAGACCTGCATCAGTTTCCCCCCCACCCCCCTCATCAATATGACACGCCATGATATCACTGGAACTCTGTTCAAATCGGCGTTGACACCAACTCTCTCACATAAACAACATTATGTTTGCATATAGTAGTCATATTTGCTCACTCAAATTCAACTTGGATTTCTTCTTGCCACAACTGGGGCGGTGGGGTAGCCTAATGGTTAAAGCGTTGGCCCGTCACGCCGAAAACCCGGGTTCGAATCCCCACATGGGCACAATGTGTGAAGCCCATTTCTGGTGTCCTCCGCCGTGATGTTGCTGGAATATTGCTAAAAGCGGCGTAAAACCAAACTCAGTCAGTCAGTCAGTCTTGCCACAACTATTTATCAACAGATGATGCTGGAGATTTAACGGGCGCTTCCGGAGGGCTCGATTTCTCGCATATCAGTTCACAGTTTATCATACTCCCAATCTAATCTAGCCATTAAGAGATTGTCATTATTTCTGTTTTTTCGTAGGTGACAAGAAGTCTCAGGTCCCAACCTACATGTACAGCGAAATGGCGACCGAGTCAATGGCGCGTCGGCAAACAGTAATAGGTCGTCCCTCCCACGACGTAAGGACAAATGGGAAGGGGTGTGGGGAACAAAGATACACTTAGCCCCGCCTCCCCCCAAGTCGGACAGGTGACACACGGCCATTATCCTAGCAGGGTAGCCCATCCCATCATGCCCAAATTTGGTAGTCAGATGTATCGCTTGTGTATTTTGAGTCGTAGTGATGTTTTGTGGCGTAGATGCATGGTGAAATAAGTGTAAGCACATTTATTTATGTATTTATTTATAGTTGCCTGATGTGTCCATTTACCATTTTACCCATTTATCTCATAAACACTAATATGGGCAGATATCCAGAGTCATAGCGCACAGCGGTGGTTGTGGCGTCGCTATTGGTTCAACGTACCTCCGGTATGCTGGAAATACGTGATGGCTGGTTCGAATTACAAATTTGCTTTTTAGAATTCTTTTAAGCGATAAAACTGAAATATGGGAGTGGTTGAGGCTTTACGCCGCTCTCACAATTCCATCAATATTACGGTTTGGACATTAGAAATCGGTTTCACGCATGAGAGGAATCGAACCCAGACTTTAGGTGTGACGTGAGACGTGATGTGTAAAACACTAGGTTACACCACCACGCCTTAATTACTAAGACGGTGTTAAATGCTCTACTGCATACAAGAAATAACTTTTTGAGTTTTTTTCTATATTAAAGAATTTGCTTTAATATGTAATTTGGAATTCAGAGTGGAAAAGAGGATTTGATTTTTCCCCCATTTGCATAATTGGAGTTATCCAGCCTCATGTAAGAATGTCGAGTTTTGATTGGTTCACGTGACTGATAAAATACCATGTACACCCGAGCAGGGAGTACAAAACTCGGTGACCAAGCGAAGTGAGAAAAGCGTGCATCGCCAAGCCTTTATAGTCTGTTTGCGGTGAAAACGTACGGAGGAATTTCACTTTAAACAAAAATTTTAATCAAATAAAGAGAAATTAAGATTGCAAATCCTCATAATTTTACCTTGCCATTTCAAAATTTAAATCTCAGATTTTTATTCAACTTAGGATAAAAGTTGTTTAGCAAACGATCATAGTTTCAAATCGGTATTATTGGTTTGTGTTACAAGGGGGTATGCACATTAAATGAAACACCGAGAACAAGGAGGGTTGGTCTAAGTTAAGGCTCACCACGTACCGCACGTGCATTTGTTTCACTGTTCCAACTACTGCGCTTACCCCCTTGTAATACAAACCGATATAAGCGATTTGAAACAATGATCGTTTGTTAAACAAGTTTTTTCGTAAGTTGAATAAAAATCTCAGATTTAATTTTTAAATTGGCAAGGTAGAGAATTATGAGGATTCGCAATCTTAATTTCACTGTATTCGATTTACAGTTTTGTTTAAAGTGAAATTCACCGGTACGTTTTCACTGCAAACAAACTATAGTAACGTGCGCTGCATTGAGGTCAATCGATCAGCTGTTGTCAACATGCATGGCATCTCACATAAATAAAAACAAGTCGAAACGATGCGTATTGTTTTCTTTTGATTTAGTAAAAACATTCGGCTAGATAAATGCGTTATCACATCGTGTCGAGGGAAATACGGGGTTTTATCAGTCCGTCGTAAGGTTGCATTCCCCTCGCCTCCGCCTCTGGGAATACAACCTTACGAGGGACTGATAAAACCCCGTCCGGCTCGGGGCCTAAGTCACTTAGTGACAGCTTAACGTTAACGAGTGACGCTCGAACACCTTAGCTAAGTAACTATCCCATTTATACTTGGAATAGTGAGTGAGTGAATTAGGAGATAAACGTACTGTGTTTGGAAATTAGATGAATATTAGACCGAATTGAGAGTCTCTAAATTTCATTTGAAGCCGAACGCGTAGCGTGAGGTTTCAAATGATTAATTTAGAGACTATCAATTCTGCCTAACATTCATCTAATTTCCAAACACAGTACGTTTATCTCCATTCTACCATAACCGATTTAACATCGAACTTCCTCGTCCTGCGGAAGACACTGCGTTATCTACCATGGCTGCGTGAAATGCTCGATTTTGAATGGGCAATCAATAAAATTAGACGCTATCAATTTTGGATTGAAAATTCGTCTGATTTCATGACCGCTTCACTGCGCACGTATACAACACTGCCGCATCAGCTTGACCACCAACATGGCTAATATGAAAACAACAGACGTGATGGAAATGCTGATAAAACATTTATTAAAACTCGAAAAATACAATTATTATATTATTTTTCCTCCACAATTATTAGGGAACCTCACTATCATATAACCTTCTATAATAAAAATATTCAAACTCAATTACAATACACAGCCCCAAACATAAACAAACAATATCTAACATGTAAATCAGAAAGCCTTGTAAATTTCATCCCTATCTATACAAAATGTGCAGCAAATCCTTACTAAACATTCTACTACCTGGTAGTAGAATCATAAGAATGGGAAATTTGCAAGATAACGGTCAGGCGAAACACCAAATTTATGCCGCTCACACTCCATCATGTCCCGTTGCATCGTTCAAAAAATACAAGTAAAAAATTGAATCACCAGAATTCTGCTCTCTGCCAGCTTCCCCACAAGGCAACGAAAGAGTGACAGTGCTGCTTTGTGTACATGCGACTAACTTGGGATTCCTTGGACATTGTTCTCATCATTTGGGACTGGATTGTGGCCAAGCTTTTCAAAATGTACGAACATAGCAGTGACAGCCTTGCGGGGAAGGTGGCAGAGAGCGGAATTCTCATGGTTCAATTTTTGACATTTTGAACGATGCAACAGGACATGATGGAGTATGAGTGGCAAATTTTGTGTTTCGCCTGACCGTTATCTTGCGAATTTCCCATTCTAAACGGAAACAAATATACCATTTACCAGGTAGGTAAATGTTTACAAACGTTTTGCCGCACAAATAGGGATAGGTAGGGATGTATATTTACAAGGTTTTCTGATTTATGTGTTAGATATTGTTTGTTTATGTTTGGGGCTATATATTGTAATTGAGTTTAAATATTTTTATAATAGAAGGTAATAATTATGATAGTGAGGTTCCCTAATAATTGTGGAGGAGAAATCGTATACTTGTATTTTTCGAGTTTTAATAAATGTTTCATCAGCATTTCCATCACGTCTGTTGTGTTGATATTAGCCATGTTGGTGGCCAAGCTGAAGTAGTGCGGCGGTGTTGTATACGTGCGCAGTGAAGCGTCGTGAAATCAGACGTATTTTCAATCCAAATTGATACCGTCTGATTTTATGGATTGACCAATCAAATTCGAGCATTTCACGTAGCCATGGTAGAATTTAGTATTACGTCACTCTTAGCAATATTCCAGCGAGGGACACCAGAAATGGGCCTCACACGTTTGTACCCATGCTGGGAATCGAACCGGGGTGCGGGACTTTCACCAAAATTAGTAAACCTCTCATAACTTCAGGATTAAACTATCCTCTCACATCAATCCGCGGTGTAACTAGAATACTTTTAACAGCGGTGTTAAACTCGCTCACTCATTCAGATATACAGTGTATACATTATCAGTTTACGCTCGTCAGACGTACGTGTCCACATCCCCTCGCTTTATCCCGTTATTAGAACATTCCTCCAGTTTATGAATGTTGAAACTGTAGACAAGTGTAAGCATGATTTGTTTTGTGTTGTTCGCCATAGGGAGATGTGAGTGCTTGTTCGTTTGAGTTTGTTTGTTTGTTTGTTTGTTTGTTTGTTGAACGTCGCACCAAGCAATTTTGCAACAATATGAAGGTGATCAATCAATAATCGAATCTGGGCCAGACAATCCAGTGATCAACAACATGAACATCATCTACGCAGTTGGGATATTGACATGTTTCAACCAAGTCAACGAGCTTGACCACCCGATCCCGACCCTTGCTCATAGTCGCCAAGACCAATTCTAGCCCGTTTTTTTTAACGGGCTTTGATGTGGTTGAAGATGTTTTGTTACCAACAGGGATATTTTTTGTGAAAATGCTCCGTCTTCACTTCAACAACTAGCCAATATTCATGATCCCTAATATTATTTAATTAGAAAACATTAACTTGCTCGGATTTCTTGTTGCACTGGATTTAGACGCATGCGGTGTTCATCACTATTCAAAACGTTCGAGGCGACAATCCCTTAAGATAAGAAATAAATTAGAGATTGATTCATCTCCGAAATTGTTTTTATTGTCAGCGTTTCTGATTGATAAGGGGACATTTCTTGACAAGGTAATTTCAACACCTGTCAATGCAAACTGCAAAATATGGGTAAAAAATATCAAAGTTGAAATTTATTGACTTTGTACGTTCTTTTTTTTTTGTAAACATGTCATCAGGGATGTGCAAAACCTGCCCAGGGGCCATGGTGCGAGGCGTGTTAACTAAACAATTACACCTTTTTCGTCATTTTCTCGACGTGCATATTTCTATTTCTGAACCCCTCGCATACCAACACACCGTTATCCACGTGAAGATCCGGGTTGAATTGGTCTCAAGCCAAACATGCTTCTAAGAAGGGACAGGATCGGGTAATCAGATCCGCTGACTTGGTTGATGCATTTTGCCATATCACACTTGTTCACCCCGATGCTCATAAATTCAATCACTGGATTGTCGGGTCCAGATTTGTGTATTTACAAACCGCCGTTATGTAGTTGCATTATTGAGACGTAGAACAACTGAGAAAAACCAGTTTATCCCAAAATCTTTTCGGAGTGTCTACAATATACGCATCACAGTTAACATGGTTCTTCAATCCGGAACCTTGACAATATGGACGGCTTTGTTAGCACGGTCCGGATTACCAGGGTCTCACTGTATGGTCTCCTTTACTGTTTCAGGTTGGCTCGACGTCTCTGTGAAATTGAAAGCAAATGAAGCATTCATGTTTGAAATTTTTGACCTTCGACCTTTACACACCAAACCGCCAAATAGACATGTTCAAACATAACAATGGAACCTTCGTCGGCAACTTCCTCAACAACAACAACAGCGGAGACTACGTAACGTGAACACTGTAGGAACGGTTGTTTGAGAAGCATCCCTAATAATCTCATCTTAATATGGATGACATCATTAAAAAGGATTCAGGTCTAAAACGGTTTCTTAAATCTGGGAACCTACATCAATTATGTTGCGGAGAGTACAAGAATTGGTCGAAGAAACCTTGGATTCGAACTCAAGATATGTCTAAATGGATACTGACACAAAGTTGCCCAAGGCCTCCTTTCACAAAGCACTAAGGTGATCGTAAGTCACTAAGGTAATTTTAATGCAATGTTAAAGAATGGGAGTTAAGATTAACCTTAGTAAAGGTTGCTTCGTGAAAGGAGTCGCTAAGCTCTAGGCTATTGGAGACTAGAAACTCTAGCCTGTAGATTGGCCAAATATAGGCTTGTGCTAAAGAAATCGGTATACAACTGGAAGCGGTTAACTATATTTTATGATACAGCGATGTGATTATTGAACAGTGAGAAGATTGGTGTCCGCAACTTGATATCTCCCTCGCCCCGATCTAAAGACAAGTGAAGAACATGAGAATAATGAACATCAACTGTTCTGAGCATTCGAGAGTTGTTTGTTCAACGATACCATTGAACTGCAGTGGATATGTTGGACAGTATTGATTCTGCCCCAATAAAGTGTATCGATGACGGTGATGAAGACAATAAAACATTCCAGAACGAGGCTGGTGAGAAAATGTATCACGGTTTATTGCATAATAATGTAATTATGTGATATTTACGCGTCATGTTTAACGACTCTGTTATCGGCACACGTTGATCATTGCTCAATGCTCTTTTTCCCATTGATTCATTGTGGCACGTT